AGGACCAGCCTTTTAAGTAAAAACAACCTAAAACGGTTGCTTTTGAAACCTAAAAGTATCAACTCACTTCTGCCCCTGTCCTAGTTCTCTCTGACTCTGCTAAACTATTTTTTATAACAACAGACACTTCTGATTATGCTATCAGCGCTGTCCTTAGTCAAGATCACGGCAAAGGCGATCAACCAGTCGCCTTTGAGTCAAGAAAACTTTCGTCAGCCAAATTAAACTATCCTACATACGAGAAAGAGCTATTAGCTATTGTTCATGCTATTAAGCTATGGAGGTCATATATTGAAGGTCGAAAGTTTATTGTAATCACAGACCATGCTTCGTTAGAATACATTAAGTCTCAATCTCAACTATCACGAAGGCAAGCTAGATGGTTAGAAGTGTTACAGTCAATAAACTTTGATGTAAAATATTGATCCGGTAAAAATAATACTGTAGCTAATGCATTGTCTAGATGTATATACCTTAACAATATCATAATAGTTTCTATTCAGCTAGCTGACCAAAGTTTTTTTAAAATATGAATATCTTAAGGATCAGTATTTTTCATCTATATTTAAAATTTTAAACAGAGAATTTGTTAATAAACCTAAACAACAAGCACGTGTAAAATATTTTGAATTAAATAACAGGAAAGTATATTTAAAAAAAAGGTTTAGACTAGCAATCCCCTTTAATAAGAAATTAAGAACACACCTACTTCAGGAGTATCACGATATCAAAACTGCAGGCCACCTAGGAATGGATAAAACATATGAACTTATTAGTAGAAATTATTTCTGGCCCAAACTCCATAATGATGTAAAAAAATATGTAGGAAGTTGTGACCAGTACCAAAGAAATAAGAGTAGTAACCAACAATCCATCGGTCTTCTACAATCTTTAAATATCCCAAAAAAGCATTGGGAACAAGTTACTATGGACTTTATAGTCCAATTACCTCCAACAAAAAAAGGATACGATGCAATCGTAGTATTTGTCAACAAATTAACTAAACAGGCTTACTTCTGCCCTACCCACACCACAGTAACAGCCCCAGAAGTGGCAATAATTTTCTTTTCTACTATTTTCAAAAATCACAATCTTCCTAAAACAATTGTATCAGACCGGGATCCCAGATTCACTAGTAAATTCTGGCAGTTGCTCTTCATGTAGTTAAAAACTAAATTAACTATGTCAACTACATTCTATCTACAAACAGACGGACAAACAGAGAGAATGAGCAGAATGTTAGAAGAGATGTTACGAATATATACAATATATAAGCAAGACCAATAGGACGAATACTTACTAGCTACTAAATTTGCTTACAATAACTCCAAGCAGGCGTTGACAGAATTTACCTCCTTTGAATTAAATTTAGGACAATACCCAATCATACCAACTATATTAGTAGCTGGAGTCCTATACAATGTACTAGCAACTAATGATTTTATAAAACACTAAGATAACATGATCAAAGCAGCAAAGAATGCTCTAATCTTGGCTCAATAAAGACAAACCCAGTATGCGAATCAACGACATCGGCATCTAGAATTTAATATAGAAGATAAAGTGTTGCTCTCAACAAAAAATATTATTAGTCCAATTAACAAACAGAGACCAACAAAAAAAGTTGTCGCCAAAATACGTGGGACCTTATCCAATTGTAGAAGCTATTTCAAAAGTTGCATATAAACTAGACTTGCCAAACAACTAGAAAATTCACCTGGTGTTCCATATTTCACTTCTAAAACTATACAAAGTATCGAAAGATTTCAACAGACCAACTCCTTACCTGCGATCTTTGTACCTGAAATCCAACAAGAAGAATATAAAGTCGAATCCATCTTGGATCAAAAGGTAATGAATAAAAGAATATACTATTTAGTAAAATAGCTTGGCTATCTGTTACATGAAGCAATATGAGAACCCTTAGAAAACTTACAAAACGTTTCTACAAAAATTAAAGAATTTGAAGATCAACGTGAACGTTGATTTTAAGGAGGGAGAATATAACAAGCCATAGCCACACATGCCTTAATTTTATGTATGTACGTATATATACATATGTACAATGATAGATATTTAACGAATATCACGTGGACAAGCCGGGGTGTATCTATGTACCCCCATCCAATTTGGATTTGTGTGATGATCAATGCCTAATTAGGATAGCATGTTCACGTAATATCTAATTTAACGATCTAAATTTAAAGTTATTTAGTGAAACTTTGATAATTAATTTTATAATTAATATGTAAATACATACAAATTAAATACTAAACAGAATATTTATATTCTAGAGCTTCGCTAAATTTTGATTATTACCGTATCAGCTTTTTTTTTT